CTCTCTCTCTCTCTCTCTCTCTCTCTCTCTCTCTCTCTCTCTCCCTTCCTTACTCTCCTTCCTTACTCTCTTTCCTTCCTTCCTTCCTGCCTGCCTGCCTTCCACCAGTCTTGGTTTTAACTAGTCTATGAGCCAAATTAATCCTACTGCCAATTTTTATACAACCCATAATTTAACAATTTTGCATTTTGAGGTTGAGAAAAGGTGAAAAGAACACATTGAAGCACTGTCAATAACTCCAGATTAGAAATAAATGTAAAACAGCTAATATGTGTGACACATGGGGATTGTATGTAATTTCAATTTCTATAAATCAGGTTTTATTCAAATGTTCCTTCTACTGACATATCCACTGGCTGACTTTCTCACAGCAAAGGGCTCCCTGGCCAGCTGAGTCAGTGGCTGTGTATCTGGCACTTTATAGAAAAGGTTTATTGACCCCTATCCTAGAGTAAAACTGCCTTTATTCAGAAGCCAATGTTATGGCTTTATGCCTGTGTGAGTCAAGCAAGTCGCTTACTATTTCTGAGTTTCAGATTCTACACTTTAAAATGATCAATGGCCCTGTGCTGGCTAGTATCATACCAGCTGACACAGCTGGAGTATCTGAGAGGAGGAGACCTTAATCGAGAAAATGTCTCCATAATATCTGGCTCTAGAGACTTTTCTTAATTAGTGATTGATGGGGGAAGGTCAAGCCCATTTTGGGTGGTGCCATCCCTGTGCTGGTGGTCCTGGATTCTATAAGAAAACCCCAGGGAGCAAGCCAATAAGCAGCACTCCTCTATGGCCTCTGCATCAGCTCTTTCCTCCAGGTTCATGCGATGTTTGAGTTCTTGTCCTGACTTCTTTTGATGATAAACAGCAATATGGGAGTATGAGCCAAATAAACCCTTGGCTTCTGTGGTAGTTTGAATGTAATTAGCCCCCATAAGCTCATAAAGAGTGGAACTATTGGGAGGTGTGGCCTTATTGGAGGAAGTGTGTGGGGGTGGGCTTTGAAGTCTCCTATGCTTAAGCTATTCCCAGTGTTACAGTGCACTCCCTGTTGCCTTCAGATCAAAATGTAGAACTCTCAGCTCCTTCTCCAGCACTATGTCTGCCTTCATGTCACCATGTCCCACCATAATGATAATGGACTAACCCTCTAAACTGTAAGCCACCCTAATTAAATGTATTCCTTTGTAAGAGTTGCTGTGGTCGTGGTGTCTCTTCACATCAATAGAAACCCTAAGACACCTCCTCAAGTTGCTCTTGCATCATCGGGTTTAATCACAGCAAGTAACCCTAACTAAGACAGTCACTTAGATCAAGGATAACTGTCATGTATTCTATATATATACATGTCATTAAATTGCTAACTTTTTAATACTTCTCTGGGGTATCACAATGCATGATTTAAAGAGAAAAATCTATGGAAGCTGAAAATTTCAAACAGGCTACAAGTTGCATTACCTTGTCATAATATGAAATTCAAGCAGCAATAATCAGCATTCTTCCTTTGTACTTAATAGTAAAATGTAACTGCTCTTATTTATATCTCACTCATACCATATGGTTCATTTCAACTTAGAAATATTTAAGCTTCTAAATGTTCAAATGCTATGCTGCAAAGTGGGGGTGCTTTTCTCCCTGGGACGATGAACATCTGCTGAAATAAATTTTCCAATGGAACAGTTAGCTACCTCTGCTAGCCTTTTCACTCTTTCTTCCTTCCTTTCTTTCTCTCTTTCTCTCTCTCTCTCTCTCTCTCTCTCTCTCTCTCTCTCTCTCTCTCTCTCCTTTCTTTCTTTCCTTCTAGAAATTCTAAAAGGGTGTTTGTTAAGTTCCACTATTATCATCTCCTAAACCAAGAAATAGCTTCTCTTGGGACAAAATGTTTCTAGAAAAGTAACATAGCCTTAGCTTTTATTTATTTATTTTTATTTTCAAGGATGGGACAAGTAGAGTTTGCATATTGCTTGAAAGACCACAGAATTAACTCTTGGATTTTAAGACTCCTTATATCGACTGTAGAAAATTTCAAACCTGAGGGTTGAAATAGTAATTTTTACTCAGCAAAAGTCGGATTTTAAATGAGACCGGCTTTTAGGAAAGACCTCAGACCACTTACTCTTTGTACCCAGAGGCAGACAAGTCTGGAGGAAAGAAGATCTCCAACCTTGAAAATAAATACTCCCAATGCTAGCATTCAATAGCATCCTGGAGATAACGAGAGGCTAAGCAGAACTGATAGGCTCTAGTCAAGGCCTACCAGTCTTGTTTCCTTTTCAGCTTCTAAGCATCTGTTTCCCTGGGGAAAGTAAAGGCAAGACAGTCAGAGCACTTAGTGTTACGGTGCATAAAGAAGTCAGTGGGTAAGAACTATCAGAATTCTCTGGGTAAACCAGTTTGAATTGAAGATGTTGCTTTTGTCTCGGTGCTTTAAAGAAGAGCTCCTGGACCTTGGGGACTGCATCAAGAGCAATGAGTCATGTCTGAAATGGGGAAGAAAGGGCATCAAATTTCATGCTCATTCATAACATGAGGACTTATTCCCTGTATTCCAGTGGAGACAGGAGACCCTGAGAGAGACCTGAGAATCAAGTATTTAAGTGCTGAAAGGTTCTATTTGCTATAAAAGATCGATGGAATGGAGTCTATCATATATAAATCATTTATGTTTCTTTTCTTTGCTTATTTTTTTATTATGAAGCTGGGCACATGCCTTTAATCCCAGCACTAGTTAACCATAGAGATCTGGAGGTTTATACAGACAGACAGGAAGTGATAGAGTGGGGTGGAAAGAGGAAGTTATGAAGCTGAGTGGAGAGAGGAAGTAGTATGGCAGGGCACAGAAAGGTATATAGGCATGAGTATATAGGAAGTAGCTCTCTCTTGGAGTCTGAGGATTTCAGTCAGAGGATTTGTGGAGTTGCTGTGGTAATAGCTGGTGGCTGTGGCTTTTCTATCTCTCTGATCTTCCAGCTTTCACCCCAATATCTGGTTCTGGATTTTTTTTTTTATTAATAAGACCATTTAGCAATTTGTGTTACATGAAGCGGTTGAATATATAAAGAAAAAAGTTCTACTATCAATCAAAACTACTTGACCACTTGCGATGTATTTTGCCACTCCATTAAAATCTTTAGCATTCCCAAGATGCTTGTGGAATGGAGGGGCATTTTCCTTTGAGTGAACTGTTAGAATCTTTTGGATGACAGTCAAACACTTCTGTAATTTCCTTTACCATTTTTAGCTTCTTTTGGCATCTTATTTCGAGTATGTCTCTGGAATGTCAGGAAGAATCCAGATACTATTCCAAATGCTGTATTTTAGTGCTACGCTAAATTTGTTCTGGAGAATTCAGGAGGTGCAGGAGTTGGGAATGGACATAAAGCTTTTTGTTTGTTTGTTTCTTATCACCTCACAAAATCTTAAAATAAAATACCAAATAGAGCTTTGGTCAGTTGCCACTTATGAAAGTAGATTAGAAAGGAATTTTTATCCTTTGGCAATAGGCAATAACAGATTTATTGGCATGGGGGAAGGTGAGTAGCCTTAGGGGAAACCAAAAGCTAGACTTTGAAAAAACCAAATGGTCCAAAGTCAGTGGAATTGTTTTTTTTTTTTTCCAGGATATTAACATTTTAGTTCTCTTCATTCACAGTTTAAATGATTTTGGTGAAGTTTTGAATAAAAATTTTGGTTAATTCCCAAGCTGAATAATCTATAATAATATAATGTGAAATCCCATCATTGCTGTCTGCTCTAAGTTCCAGAAGCTTGTATGTGAAGTTTGGTGTACCGACACTAACTGGGATAGGAGATAAAGACCCAGCAAGGACAGGTCTCATGTGATCATCTCATGCAAAGTAAAATCATTCATAATCAATGGTTCTTTAAGGTTCCAAGGGATTGCATACACCTGCATTTACAGTATGGCTCTAGTTACTTGACAATGAATGAATGAGTCTTGCTTGCCCTTCTCATCAGGAATCACTGAAGTATCAAACAAAGGATGAATTCTTTCCTAAGAAGCTTATGACTAACTCAGGTTTCACAAGTATTCCAGGAATAGGATTCTTTCTGGTTACCAAGGTTGTAAGTGTGATTTTGATTTTGGCCCAGAGACTGAAGAACCCAAACGATATGTTGTCCTACTTGTTCTGTCAGCCAATAGCCAACACTCTTTTTATCCACCAGCCCTCAAGTCCTTATTGTAAC